GAGAGAGAGAGGGATGCGCGAGGATCAGATGTACGGCCCCAATGGCTGCCCTCTTGGCTTCAAGGCGAGGTACAGGCGGGCCCCCCCTTGGCCGCGACTCACGGTCCAGAGCTCATCGTCCTTGGCGAAGCCGTGTTCGAACCTAAACTCGGGGACAATCTTGTGGATCTCGCTCTTGGTCCTCCTCTTGTCGCACGTGTGCTCTCCATAGACCTCTCTGAACCCTTCCTTGATGACGGGCTTGACGCGCTTGGTCCCCTTGATCTTCTCGTCGTCCTTGTGGTTGGGACCGTCAAAGAGGATGCCGGCGTAGGTGATTTCGAGCGTCTTTGTGCTGCGCGTCATGGGGCTCGAGTAGAGGCTGCGCGGGAGCGGTGCGCGGTCCTGCTCCGAAGGGCGGGAGAGGATGGCGAGCCAGGCGGCGTGGACGGAGCGCGCCTGGTCGATGCCGGTGGGCGTGAGGAGCGCATCGGGCCCCCAGGTCGAGGTGCCGTTGCCGTTGAGCTTGGACCAGTGCTCGTCCCACGCCGCCGTGCCGTAGTAGGCCTCGGCGACATTGTGGTACCCCTCGCCGTGCCGCCCGGCGTACACCAGCTTGTACGCCGATCCATCGCCGCCGCCCGCGCGGTTGAGCTCGTCGAGTTTGGACCGCAACGACGCCCAGGTCACGTTGGGCGCCAGACCAAAGTTGCCGTCGATGGCCGGCAAACTCGACCCGGCCGCCGCCGCGTCGTAGATGAAAAAGTCCGGGACCGTGCTGAACTTCCAGCTGCGCGGTGGCGAGCGAGAGGTGAGCGGGCTCCCGCTCGCTGCTAGGACGAATGTGACGAGGGAGAGGAACGTAGGTGTCAGGTGGAGCTGCATGGTGGTGGTGGTGGTGCTTGGTGGTGGCGCTGGTGGTGATGGAGTGGGTGGGATGTATGGGGGAGAGGAGAGGGAGGCGGAGAGCGGGCGGGCGAGGGCTTACTGGATTCGTCGGAAGATGTCATGGTTCGCCCTTGTTCCCGCAGTCTTTATCTAGGATTGCAGCCGGCAGCGTTCTATCGTTGAGTCTAGGCTTGTTGGCTCGTTAGGGTCGGTCGGTAGCCGCAGCTGTAAGTTTGGATGGTCGAGCAGGGCGTGGGGGAAACGGAGCGCAGCAAGGAAGGGAAAGCTAAGGAGACGCTCGGCTGGTTAGGCGATGGTCGCACGGCGTCGGCCATCTCTTGCTGCGTGGCCAGGCCTTGCCTCTGTCTGTCCAATTTGGCGGAGCGACACGGGGCGCGGGGCACCAAGGACGGAACGTGGCGGGCACGTTCCTCGTTCTCGTCGTGTCCCTAGTCAGTCGCCGTCGTCGGTCAACCTGCTCCTGGTCTCCTTCGATGGCAACCCGACAGTCGCACGTGCACCCACCACGTCGCCGGTGCCTCGTCGTCCGAGCTATGGCAACGATTCGTTGCAGACCGACCACCAACATGCTTCTGGATCAAAGGAAGACCAAGGAACCTCGATGCTCCCTGCTGCCGCGTGCGGGGTCCAGTCCTGCAATCCGCCCCGCCACTCGGGCTGTCCCCCGTCGATCCTGCTTCGTGCCTCGTGGCGGAAGAGGAAGAGGCAGACAGGCACACGATTCGCCGTCAACTGCGGGACAGGCACAATCGCCTGCCCGCCTGCCAGCCTATGCGCGAGCACGACTCTCTCTCTCTCCGCGGATAAAGGCACGGCCGAAGTCGTCGTCGTCTCGAAGAAGCCCGTCGTCTTTCGTTTCCTGCCCCCGCGCTCAACGTGGCTCGACGAGACCTAACAACGAAACCGTTGCGCTACGCTGCGCCGCGCCGGTCCGCTCACTTCCCATCATCCTGCTCCCATTCCATCGCACGGCAACACTCGACTCGACCTGGATATTGAGCTCTTTTTATCGATTCCAGACCGGATGCCAAGCACCCGTTCCGATGCAGTGTGGCTGACGGCTATACAAGGGTGGCAGCGGCGGAACCATTACTACTGCTGCTGCTGCTGCTGCTGCTGCTGCTGCTGCTCCTGCTGCTGCTGCTGCTGCCGCTGCCGCTGCTACGACTGCTACCGTCCTCGGCGCCTAGAGGTCCATCTCCTTGGCGGCCATGCGCCAGATGGTGTCCTTCATAATGGCGCTCGTGCCCTCGTAGATGGCGCCAATCTTGCTGTCGCGCCAGTACTTTTCGATGCCCGTCTCGCGCGTGAAGCCGACGCCGCCGCACCACTCAATCGCCGAGCCCGACGCCTTCTGCGCCACCTGGGACGCGTAGAGCTTGCACATGGCCGCCTCCTTGGCAAAGGGTCGTCCCTCCTCCTTGAGCCTCGACGCGTTGTAGACGAGGGCGCGCGCCGCCTCGATCTCCATTAGCACCTGGGCGTAGTCAAACTGCTGGCCCTGGAAGTCGACGATGCGCTTGCCAAACTGCTTGCGGTCGGCGGCGTAGCGGATGGCCTTGTCGACGGCGCCCTCGGCCAGGCCGAGCATCTGGGCGCCGATGCCGACGCGTCCCTCGTTGAGGATCTCGATCGCAATCTTGTAGCCCTTGCCCTCCTCGCCGACGAGGTTCTCGGCGGGCACTTTGATCTCGTCAAAGTTGACGGTGCACGTCGACGAGGCGCGGATGCCGAGCTTCTTTTCCTTCTTGGCGATCTCGACGCCCCAGTCCTTTTCGACGGCGAAGCAGTTGATGCCCTTGTAGCCCTTGCTCGGGTCCGACTGGGCAAACACAAGGAAGAAGCCCGCCTCGCCCGAGTTGGTGATCCACATCTTGGAACCGTTGATGATCCAGTGCTTGCCGTCGTCGGTCTTCTTGCACGACGTCTTCATCGCAAACGCGTCCGAGCCCGAAGACGGCTCAGACAGGCAGAAGGAGCCCAGCACCGACTCGGACAGCTGCGGCAGGTACTTGTCCTGCAGCGTCCTGCTCGCATACTTGCGCATGATGGTGCACACCAGGGTCTGCGGGGGGAGAAAGCGGGGGGCAGGAAGGAGGTGGACAGCGAGGGCGGCGAGGGCGGCGAGGGTCGGCTGCTGGCCTGCGTTTGGCGGAGAGAGGAGCGGGGGGACTGGGGGAATTGAGCACGCTACTCACGTTGTGGACGTCGCAGAGGACCGAGACCGAGGGGTCGACCTTTGCGAGCTCCTCGATGGCGACGATGGCGGCGGTGAAGGAGCCTCCAGCGCCGCCGTGCTCGGGCGAGGTCTCGATGGCCATGAGTCCCTGCTCAAAGAGGCCCTTGATGATCTCGGGGTCCATCTTTTCGGCCTCGTCCATTTCCTGGACGCGCGGGGCGACGACGTCCTCTGCGAAGCGCTTGACGGCCTCGCGGAGCATCTCCTCCTCCTCGCTGAGCTTGTTGAGCGAGTTGATGCCAAAGGGCGACTCGTACTCGTTGGTGGCGGCGGCCGACGACGAAAAGGCGCGCGGGGCCGAGGGGCCGGCGCTGCCGACG